TTTAATTAAAATTAAATATATTAAATATATAAGTTCTTGCTGACCAAAAATACCATACCAGCTGCCTCTTAGTCAGACTTTATCGCAATATACATCAACCATTCTGTACAATTGTTCTAACGCTTGCGCAGATTGACAGCTCGTCCTATAAATTTGAAATTCGCGGTTGGTACACTTAAAGCCCGAGACACACATTCACACGTTTAATTTATGGCAAAGTGGGAAAGTAATTTTAAGACAAAATTAGAGTTTTTTTTTCTTTTTTTTTTCCAACTTTGCTCCTAATTTTTTTGGGACAAAATTTGCTTCTTATTTATTTATTATCATTTAAATGTCTAATCTTCTAGATAACTATTTATTCTGGTTATTAATTGTAAAAAATATAATTAAAAAGTTATATTTTTGATAATTTTAAAAATATAACTATCATTTATTTATAAATACAAAATTGATTAATTTTATATTATACTCTCTCTGTTAAAAAATGTAAAGCATTTTTAACTGAGTTCACTCTTTAATAAAGTAATTATTTATTTTCAAACTAACCCTATGTTTTCATGTTTACTTCTATTTAATAGAATGTTTTACCCTAAAGTAAACATAAAAGAATTTATTCAATAGGAGTGCTTTTGAAAAAAGATAATAATTATACATTAAAAAATAAAAAATATATTATATTTTTGAACATCTAACCCTTTGAAAAATACTTTATATTTTTTAACAAATGAGGTATTAATGACTAGAGAGGGTGTATGTATAAGTGTGTCTATATATATATACTTCCTTTGTACCACAATATAAGTTATAGTTAACTAATTTACAATTTACGAACCATGTTAATTGAGACCCTAAAATCTTAAAAATATTCATATATTTTTATTTATACGGTCATTAAATATATTATATAAAGTCTTGATATAGCAATTAAAATTTTAATACATAATTTTTTTAAAAAAATAATAATAAAGAGGAGTATAGTTAAAAAATAAATATAAAAATTATTTAATATCATATATTTTAAATCAAGTAAAATTTTTAAAAATATTTTATATTATTATCCGGTGCGAGTATATATATATACACATATACACCCACTATACTCAGCTAATTATCCCTTGAAAAGAGAGCAGATTGTCACGAATGATATTTTCGTGACCGTGTAAAGACCAAGATAATGAACGATCTGCTGATTAGCCTCGCACAATATGGGTAAAGAGGGCGACATTGGCATTTGGGTGCGCTCTGCCTTAGTCTTCGGGTTAAGCGCACAATTGATCGGGGGCTAGTGTTGCCTCCCTGATGAGCCCATGACAGGGCGAAACTAATAGGATTTGTATGTGGTAAGGTTGATCTCGAGGATTATGGAGTCCTCGAGACACTGTACGAGCACCGTGTGCTGTGCCAGACTCTAAACTTGTGACAGGATGCCTGTCATGTGTGATTCCTCATGGCATAATTGATGTCAAGTCACTTCCCAGTTTCTATTCAGTGACTTTCAGACGAAGTTGCTTCAACTCTCACCAAACCAAAATAAAATAAATAGGTCATGCATGCTTGTATATAGAGGCGAAACTAAAAAAATTTATTAAGAAAGGTCGAAATAACAAAACATATATATTAATAGAAGGAAAGTTAAACATATACACACATACATATCACACGAACATAATATAAATATTTTAATTTATATATTTTATATTTATTTTAAATTAAAAAAATTAATTTATATGTCTACGATAAAATTTCAGTAATTTTCTTTCCACTATAAATTATCATTAAATTGTAAAAATTTATCTTTTTTATAAACATTGAATAATTTAAATATATAATTAAAATTTTAAAGTTCTGTTTAATTTAGAAAACTTTATTACTTGCTTACTAAATTTATTATTTAATTATTTTTATTTAAAATTATAGTAAGTAAATATCATCAATACAGTAACGATATTCAATTCTCACAAATTCTTTATGTTGACAAAATTTGATTATATCATAGTAAAAATTATTTTATAATTATGTATAAAAATTATATATACTCTCTCCATTTAAAAAATATAGGCATTTTAGTCTTTTGAGGTGTATCATTTTTTTTAAACATACCCCTATTAATAATGACTTTATATTTATTGGAGGGTATTTAATAGAAGTAAATATATAAAGATATGGTCAGTTAAAAAGTAGATAACTACTTTAATAAGTGTAAAATTCGGTTAAAAATACCTTACATTTTTTTAACGGAAGGAGTAACAAATTTAATAGCTTGGGTATTACATAAAAAAGTTATTTTTTTCTAGAAGAACATATCTTAATCATAACCTCTTAATTTTTAGATATGTTATTTATAATAGTTATCAAGCACATATCATTTAATATCGAGATTTTAGTTGCAAAGTTGTTAGTAATACTTCTCCTAATTTCTTTATCAATATATAAAATGAAAGTCAAATCAAATAGTATCAATATTTTTGAGCAAGTTTAGTATTATCTTATTGAAAAAAGTAGATTCTGTAATATTATATTTTCAAGCTACTAAAACAGTTGAATTATACATAGTGTGTTTAACTTAGGAGCTGAAAACATAAAACTCTTATGTTTATCAAGAAAATAGTAAAAAGTTAGGGGGTCTTCGTCCTTGTTGATCCCCTGTCTCCATCCTTGCTTGTATATATCTCATTTCTTTTAATAATGATCTAATACCTAATATATTTTCTAATGTAAAATTTATCCATCAAGTGAATTCTTAGGATCCAGTGAATTATTTCTTCTTTTTTTTATTGAGCGCAAGTGTGTTCTTATTAAATAAAATTTTGTTCAAAGCACACCCGAATCCTAAATATAAATACTTCTCTAGTGATAATTTAAATATTAATTTATTATATTTTAAACAATGAATTCGTTTTAATAGATTAAACTTCTGTAAGTTGAATCCTTTCATTCTATCTAATCATCATCATTCACATCTTTTTTTTATTTATTACTTTCACATCTAAATATTTCCTTATTGATCCTCTAAGACCTAACTTACATAAACCCTTTTTTATAAAAAAAATCCATACTTAATTTTTTACAATTAATATGTTTCTTCATGTATTGTATGAATTATGAAGAATATTTTGTATAGTTTAATGAAATGCTTTTTAGAAAACACTTTATTTAAATAATCAAATATAATTTTCAAACAAAAAGTATAAAAAAGTTTAAAAGAAGATGGGCTCCACTGACGCTAACCCGATTAATTTCTGCCATGACATGAAGAATGCATTGAAATAATTGATGAAAAGAATAATAAAATAACATTGGAATCCAACCCACTTGAGCCGTTTTTCTTTTGGTACCTTAGAAAAATAAGTATCGCTTTCCAACAACCACGTGGGTATTAATTTTTTATGAAAATCATTAAATATTTTTGAAACATCATCAAGTCATTTAAATCCTTTAACAAGAACCTTTAAAATAAAATAAAATAACAATTCCTTTATCAATTCTATTTTTCCAAAGCATCCATATTTCTTCTTGTTCAAACGGGATGGGCTTATAAAATTTGACATATGAGTCAGCGTGTTTATATTTATGACTTGCAAACCACGTTGCATATTATAAATTTTACTTTTGATATAAAATCTACGCTACCTTAAATTCTAATATAAATTACAATTACTCGTCACGCACGCATCATCTTAAATAAAAAACATTAAAATAATAAAACTTTTAATCCTTCAAATTTTCTCTAAGTATTGATTTGGTATCTCATGTTTATTTTTATCAATTTGATCCCTTTACCTTATCTCACTCATCAAATAGTCCTTATTATTTAAAAATAAGATAACATTATTAAATCTTGATATAGATAACAGAATGTTGATAGCAACTGTATAGATTTAAAAAATAAATAAAATTATTTAAGTAAAAATAATAATAAAACTGTCAATCTCTCAAATTCGTCTCATTTATTGATTTGATATCTCAAATTATTTTTTATTGATTTGGTCTCTAAGCTTATCTCAATCATTAATTTGGTCCTTATTATTTAAAGATAAGGAACACTATTAAATGTTGACATGAATAACAAAATATTGATAGCAATCATATAGATTAATAATAAAAAAATATAATTATTTAGGTAATAAAAAATAAACTTAGAAATTTTTTAAAAAGAATCATCCATTCAGCCCATGAATAATGGATAATTGTATTAAAAAAATGTAAATAAGATTAATAAAAATTAAATTGGTTTAAGAGATAATTTGTTCTCATTAATTACACATACCTCAAATCTTCAAAATATTTTGCACATATATTAATTCAAGAGTAAATTTAAATTTTAGAAATTAAAGAAATAATATGATAATTTCTGAAGACGTAAAGATCTAAATTGATAAAAGTTAATAAATTTAAAGGATTGAATTATAATTAAGATAAACGTAAATAATTAACATTTATAGTTAATGCTAGTATTTTTCTATATCTGTGCTTTTTGATTCTTAAAATATAGAAGCATTTAATGGTAAGTGGGGGATATATTATATTTTTTAAAAAAAATAACTATCTAATGAATGGACGTCACTTATGTGCGTGTATATGTTTATTTATTTATTTTTTTATGACAACACCACAATTATAAAAATGACTTGTACTATTTGGATAATAAAAAAGAAAGATAGTTCTTCCTCCGTTTTAAATTATAAAATAATTTTTAAAAATTTAGTGTACTAAAATATAAAATAATTTGATAAAAATGAGATTTCATTGATAATATATTTTTTTTTTCAATACGATCCTTAAAGTAGAAAAAGAATTGAAAATAATGTTGTAACATAATGATTAAGTATGTAAGGATATTTTTAAAAGTTCATAGTTTTGTTTTGAAAAAAAAAATTAAAAGTGCCATTATTGTATTTTATTGGCCTTGTATACGCAATTTTATTTGAATAATCTTATAGCTTGGGATGGAAAATGTAATAAGCCATAATCCTTTTTATAAACTGCGGATGGTATAGTAGTATAATAGGACTCACTCATCCCAACAAGAAGCTAGTCTAGGATCTCAAAAGGATGTGATTATTTGTGAGATAGGATTTTTTATATATAGCGAGAAAGAAGAAGCAGACTCGCCATCATATTCTTCCTCATTCACTGTATATCTCAACAATGTTTCAGCTTCTCTCTCATCCTTTCTGCTTTGCTCATTCTTCTTCATACAGCTTCACCAACGTGCGTATGCCATTGAAAAGGCAAGTTTATATATATATATATATAGCTTTATCGATCTCTTTCCTAATTGATATTGTTGTCTCAACAACCTTCATCAATTTCACCTAAATTGCAGTCGTACGTTGTTTACCTGGGATCACATTCTCATGGCCCGAAACCTTCTTCTGCTGATATGGACTCTGCCACAAACTCTCATCATGATTTGCTCGCTTCTGTTCTGCGAAGGTAGGTACTATTTAATTTGTTCAATTCAATATCTGAACATTATATTGGCTTGATTAATATAATGTTGATGTCTGTTTATATGCGTTTGTTTGGCAGCCATGAGAAGGCAAAAGAAGCCATGTTTTACTCTTACAACAAACACATCAATGGCTTTGCTGCATTACTTGAAGATGAAGAAGCTGAAGAGCTCAAAAGTGAGAATTATTACTTTTTACAGTTAAACTTCATTATACTATGAACTCATTCGCGTTTGGCATCACTATCATCATCATCATCTTCCACACAGAGTGTTTCAGATTTGTTTTCTTATGATCAGACTTAGATCTGGAACCCTCCCCCACACCGGCCAGTTATACATTATGATTTATGAGTTGGCTGACAAATAAGTTTTTGCGTTTATTATTTTTGTAGTATATGGATATTGAGAGAGATTGACTTGGTTGGGAAAATTGATGCAGAAAATCCAAAAGTGGTGTCGGTGTTCTTGAGCCAGTCACATAAGCTGCACACAACCAGGTCATGGGACTTTCTTGGACAAGAAAAAAATGGAAGAGTTAGGTCAGACTCTGCTTGGGTGAAGGGAAATTTTGGTGACAATGTCATCATCGGCGCCATTGATACTGGTAATTACTTCCAAATCAATCTCGTGATCATACTAATTTTTCCAATTCATATTAAGCATTGGCTAATTCAGAATGAGTCGGATAATTAATTCTAAATATTAATCAAAGTAGTATTAGTTTTACTTGTATCATAAATTTATTTATATAATAAATACAAGAGTAAACAATATTTTTAAATGTGTGCTTGATAATTTTAAAATCAGTGTGGGTAACTGATTTTTTTTATGGGGCCAATTGCAATTTCAATAAGGTAAGTGAAATTTTTGCTAATTTTCGTCCACTCCCATGAAGGTGGGTGCATTTCTAGAGTCAGATCAAATCATATGAAAAATTTTCTTTTTTGAATTATGAGAGGAAACCAACGGCTTGAGGTATTGGCATTTTTATTAGTAACGATTATATTGAATCTGTATATATTTTATTTGAACTGTTCGCATCAAATGTGGATGACATAATTTTTATTGTTTTATTTAATTGACTAGGTAGGTGTAATAAGTGTTATTAGCAACATTATATGTAATATTATTTTAAATGTTTAATATATATATATATATATATATATTTTTTTTTTTTTTTACGGGGTGGTTATGTTGAGTAGGAGTCTGGCCAGAATCCAGAAGCTTCCGAGACAATGGATATGGCCCCATTCCAGAGAAATGGCGTGGAGGATCAAAATGTGAGCTTTTCAGTTTGTCAGGCCCTTTGAATCAAACTCTTTGCAACAGGTCTGAATTCAGAATTTAATTTAAATGCATGCTTTTAAAAGTATAATTTGAATTGTTTCTTAATTATCTCTTCTTTTTTAACCCCCTTCAATCACTCAATTTAAAGTATATTTTGATGTTCACAATTCATAAGAATTTCATATTAATGACATTTACCAAGATGCCATTTTCGGATTTGAACAAGGGGAATAAGATCTCCCTGATGAAAGAGACAGTCCTTCAACGGCTAATAAGAACTTGTCGTCTGGCGAACTGTGCAAGAAACGACAATGTCTCACCATAAAGAAATATATCAAATTAATAAATCATAACCTTAGGAAGTGATGAAGAATTGGTTCATCTCAATGACGTATTACTTGGGGAAGCACCCAACTTCCAGCTATTTTTACACTTTTTTAATTTTATTAGCCAAAAAAAAAAGGTCAAGATTAATTTTCGCCTCAATACTCTAAATTCTTTTATTTGGCCCCAATATATATCTTTTTTTTAACTAAAAAATGCATTCAAAAAACAACACACTGTCCTCCTTCACCTCCACTTGAGGAGGGGGTCATAATATGTATTCTTTTCGTTCAAAAATATAAAATATTTTTTAGAGAATTGAATGTTTAAAAATATAACATATTTTGAGTCTTTTGAGGTATAATCATTATTTTTTTTAAAAATATTCCTATTGATGAATGACTTTATATTTATTATAAGATGTTTAATAGAAGTAAATATAAAAAAATAAAGTTAGTTTAAAAGCATGTAACTACTTTATTGAGAGGTAATATTTAATTAAAAATGTCTTATATTTTTACGCAGAGAGAGTATCACTTTAAAGTCTAGAGCTAGAATCTAGTTTCGCTACCATTAGCTTCTCTATTTGTTATCTTAGAATTGAAGCCAAGCAAATCCATATTACTTGACTTAGCTGGCTATTATTGTTGTTACGTAAGTGAATATATGATATGCCAAATATTTCTTGATTAAAATTTTTATTGTTGTTTTTTTTTTATTTATAGTCAAAATTAATTATTTGATCTTTATAGTTTAACTCAATTATAACTCAGTCTTTAAACTTAATTTTATAATTTATTTTTAAAGTTTTAATTCAATTGTAACTTAATTTTTAAATTTTAACTCTTTCAATTCAGTCTTTATAGTTTTAACAACTTAAATATTAATTCTTATATTTTTAAAAATAAAATTATAAAGATTAACATTATGTTAAATTTTATTACTAATATTTTAAATTACTAAACCCTTTTAATCTTTATAAATATGTGTAAAATATTTTTAATCTTTATAATTTTATTTTTTAAAAAATATAAAGACTAAAATTTAAGTAGTTGAAATTAGAAAAACTAAATTACAAGAGACAAAATTCAAAGACTGAATTATAACTACATTAAAAATATAAAAATTAAGTTATAATGAATTAAAATTTAAAAACTAAATTACAATTGGACCAAAAGTACATGGATCAAATGATTAATTTTTTATTTATATTAATTTCCCTTGAATGTCATTAAATTTTTAAAAGATATTCAAAATTCCTCTTAAACAAAAATTATATTGCACTATTGTTCAATTTAATTCTCTTTCCTATTAAAATATACCCATCAATCATCTTTTATATATACTGGCAAAAAAAAATCATCTTTTATATACATCCATATTCAAAATTTAATAAGAATAAAAAATCTATATCATCCCTATCCAAGCTCACGACACGTGCTATGAACGTGAAACAGGAAGATAGTGGGAGCAAGAACATTCTTCAAAGGCTATGAGACAAAACACGGATCCCTTAGCCCATCAACACAAATCAGTGCCCGTGACACCGTAGGCCATGGAACCCATACTCTGTCAACAGCGGGCGGCAACTTCGTGAGAGAAGTGAGCGTTCTCCGAAACGGCAATGGCACAGCTAAAGGCGGATCTCCGAGAGCTCGTCTTGCAGTCTACAAAGTTTGCTGGGGTCGTGATAATTCTGAAGAGTGCACTGATGAAGACTTGCTTCAGGCTTTTGATCATGCCATTGATGATGGTGTCGATGTGCTCTCTATTTCCGTCGGCCGGAGTACCGTCCCAAATGTTAATGACATGTTAACAAATGGGATCTCTATTGGGTCCTTTCATGCAATTTCAAGAGGCATATTAGTGGTTGCCTCTGCTGGTAATGACGGACCTGAACTTCAGACTGTGTCAAATGTTGCACCATGGATCTTCACTATTGCTTCTGGCTCCATAGATAGGGAATTCAGTGATAATATTACTCTCAGTAACGGCCAACGCATGAAGGTATTGCTCCTGGCATCGCTCAAAGCGCCATTAATAACTAGTTCATTTCTCAACAATATCAATAATATCATATTTCTGACTTCAACCACACCAATGTCATTATGTTTTTGATTGACTGTTCTTGGACAATCAGGGAACCAGTCTTGCCACAAACTCGACATCTCGACAGTTAATTCCTGTAATAATTGCTGGTAATGCTAGGCTTTCTAACGCGACATTTGATGATGCGTAAGAACAAACTTACCCATTCTTGATTAAATTTTATGAATGTGTTAAACTATCAAATGTTTATATCTCAGTATGAATACAAAAATTTTGGCTCCTATTGCAGTGATCATTGCAAGCCTGGAACACTTGATCCGAACAAAGTAAGAGGCAGTATATTGGTATGCCGAAGAGGAAGGAGCCTAAGGCCTGTAGACAAGGGACAAGAAGCAAAGCGTGCAGGTGCTTTGAAAATGGTTTTGCAAAATGATAAGGAATTGAATACAGCTACAGCTGACGCGCAAGTTATAGATACTTCCAATTTTCCAACATATCATCATCAAAGAAAGAACAAGAATACATCACAGCAGCAAAAAAATCCTTTTGATGTCAAGTAACTATCATACATCTTTCTTATGTACCAATCCTTTTGAAATTGTTCTGAAAATATTTGTAATAACAGGGCAATGCTTATGCACATATTGCAGGAACCTAACTGCATTTTTGGATAACGCAAAAACATTTATACCAATAAAGCCAGCTCCAAAAGTTTCTGCATTCTCATCCAGGGGACCCAACTTGATTCTTCCCTCAATCCTCAAGGTTATCCATTCTTACAACATCTAACTCCCTCAGTCAACTACCATGGCTCATGAGCTTTTGGGGTTCCTAACTTCTTCTTCTTCTTCTTGTTTTTTTTTCTTAATTTTAGCCTGACGTAACGGCACCAGGTCAGGATATAATAGCTGCTTATTCATCTGCGGCAAGTCCCACCAACCTAGATTCAGACGTAGGTCGCTTTGACTATAACATTCTATCAGGAACTTCTATGGCATGTCCTCATGTTGCCGGCATTGCTGGTCTTCTCAAAACTCGTTATCCTAAATGGAGTCCAGCTGCTATCAAATCAGCAATTATGACCACTGGTATGACAAACATGAAATGCTATTGTCATGCTTACAGTTTCCTTCTTTTATTTTCTTACTAACTACAGCATTTCTAAAATCTATGCCCATCCAGCAACCACCCAGGATAACACCAATGGGCCAATTCTAGATGAAAATGATGATGAAGTAGCAACACCATATCATTATGGTTCAGGGCACATTAAACCTAACCTTGCAATGGACCCTGGACTTGTTTATGATCTGACGGTTTCTGATTACCTGAACTTGTTATGTGCTTCTGCTTACGAGGAACGAATGGTTGTATCCATTAATTATAACAGGCCATACAGATGTCCAAGGTCTTACAGACTAGAAGATTTCAACTACCCTGCCATCACTTTGCCTTTTCTAGGTGTGAAGCCTATAAATGCTACTCGTACTGTAACAAATGTCGGGCCTCCAGGCACATACACTGCAAATGTCAAAGCCCCAACAGGAGTTAAGGTTGTTGTTCTTCCGAAAACTTTGAAGTTTCAGAGGACAAACCAAAAGAAGAGCTTTCAGGTGATTTTGCAGGCAACAGGTTCAGCCAAAACTTCAGAGCCTTCATTTGGGGAGTTGGCATGGACAGATGGCAAGCACAAGGTCAGAAGTCCTATTGTAATATCGCAATTTCAGAAAGTGACAATGTAGATTTCAATGTTATCAATCCAGTGTGTTGTGTGTTTATCAGATAGTTCAAGACAGTGTTAGAGTAACTGTTTTCAGATGTGTGGATGTACTTAACTTTGTTATATTAAAATAAAGTGATGGTTCCCCCACAACAATGCGAGTGAGACAGAGCTAGTTGATGTAAAAGTATTCGTTGCAATAGCAATTGAAGACTTACGCTGCCAAAACCGATCTCAGAATTTCAATATAACAAGATCATTAAGTTCAATAGGAAGCTCAGAAACAAGCAAGCATACCGATTTCAACAACGGTGTAATTATTTAACAATAATCTTACTGGTCACTTGTTGCCCTCCATCTTGAACCAAGCAACGACACTACCGAAGCTTAGGTCGACGGCGGTGCTGAAATTGCTTGGTTCGACGGCCGATTGGGATCGTCTAGGGTCGGCACGGGAAATCTGGAGGATGGTGAAGGAGAACGGGGAAGCCGAACTGCCGAAGTAAGGAAAAACTTAAAATTATTTAGAACATAATTGAATTTTAATTATTTTAAAATGACAATTAATGTTTTTGTTATACAAAAAGTCCAAGTGAATTGGATTTGGCCCAGATTCATAAAGTTGTGAGAATATTTAGAAAAGTGCTTATAAATTATAATGGACATGGTTCCCTATCAATTATCATCATACGGAACTTGTGGGGAAGGAGTATTCGAGATCTCAATTCCTCCTTCTTCTTTTTTCTTTTACTTTTTTGTTCGGCTCTGCCCTCTCTTGTATCCAAAAAAAAAAAAAAAACTCCATATTGATTGCCAATTTTTTCATGCATTGATAGTATGTTTTTTAACCTATGCACACACTAACATGTCAATGTTAATGCTAAATTTAAACTTATAACTTCTTTCAAAAAAGAGGAGTGACTTGTTGTCCGGAAACTGTTGACTTTGACACTAAAATTAGCCAGGCACTTAAGTATGAATTGCATTTTTATTTGTGTGAATTCTATAATTGATCAAAGTAATTCAATTATTTTTTATTTTCTTATATTATATTTTATAATAAAAAAATTTAGATGAATTTTCGTCTTAAAAAATCACAATACTCATGTCTTTATTGTAAGACATTTTCAAAATGTTTCAAGTATTTTAAAAAAAATAATTTTTTTCTTGTTATCATAAAAAAATGATGTACTTTTATTTTTATTTTTAACTTTAAATAATGATATAACTATATTAAATATTTTTACATTAATCAAAAAAAATTAAAAAAATAGTTTAAATGTTAAAAGATGTCCTTTTAGACTAAAAATTATTTTTAAAAGGTATAATATAAATAGGATTGAAGGGACTCTTAATTATAGGACAATTTTATAGAGTACTCTTTATTAGCTAACTTTATAATTTCATTATTTCAAATTACAAGATAATTTGAGACATAATTAATGGCAGGGCCACATACAAGTGAAAGTGGGCACATGCCCCCCCCACATATAATAGACATGAAATTTTAAATTTTGCACCACTTTTCTTCATATTTTTGTACCCCATCTTTTTAATACTTTAAACAACAAATTCATTTTATTCTTTCTCTACGCTTAGAATCTAAATTTTTTAACTTTTAAATTCAAAATCTAGTAATATAATAAATATATATAATTGATTTTTTTAATTATTAATTTATTTTTAAAATTATTAATTTTTCAAAAATAAAATTGCTCTCTAAACCGAGTTTTGTCACAAGACATGATTACGCATATAAATAAAATTTAATAATGTTACTTCACAATCTTATTTTTTTAAAATAAAAATATAAACATTAAAAAATGTCATTCATCTAATATAATTGTAAATTTATACATTTAATTATTATATTATAATTATTTTAATTTTTTTCGTTTAAAGGATAATATTAAAAAAATTATTAATGAAACTTAATTTTTATTAAATTATTTTATATTTTAATATAACAAATGCCTGGAAATAGGTTTTAGCTTCTCTTTTTATGGTTGTGTTAAAAAATCCAGGCACCTTAGGACCCCGATCACTTTGGGACTTGTTGGTTAGTGTGTTGGACACCTAATCTTGAAGGCCCCAGTTCGATCCACCCCGTTTGGTGCGTTTGGAGTATGAAAATACCTCTCTTTTAGGCCTGTTCGAAGATATTTCAATAGAAATGGATGTAGTTGAAGAAGGATAGGTGATTTAAAAATATGATTGGTATAAACATGAAAATTATATATAATTTTTAATTTAATTCTTATTATACATTTAATATATGAAATGACTAATATATCCTCATCAAAAAAATTAGCTGCCAACCTTTGAAATGAATTGGTCATCACCGCCCATTAGTAGCAGAGCTAGGATCTTAAGTCGAGGGTAAGGGTGTTTAAAATTGATTCAAATCAAAAGGAACAACTTAAGCCAAAAGAAATCGATCAAAATCAAACAACAATTAAGTCTGTTTTGATTTTTATAATATGAGAATCGATTGATGTGGTTTAAGTTCGGTTTTGAGTATTAGAAACCGAACCAAACCGAGCCAAACCTGATTAAAAAATACTATTTATTTATTTATAAAATATATAACTATTTATTTACAAGAAGTATTTTGTTTTGATTTTTTTTACAATAATAAATAAATATTTTTAAAGGACTTAAATGGAAATGCATAATATTAAATAATTATAATAATCATGTTATGACCGTCATTTAATTATTTACAACTTGAAAGCCTCAGTATTCAATTTATTTACAAGAAGCATTTTGTTTTGAATTTTGTATAATAAATTTTTCATTATTTATTAAAATATAGATATATAGATAAACATTTTCAAACAACTTGAATGGAAATGCATAGCATTAAATAATTTTAATCTTGAAAACTTATATTAATTTTTATTATTAATTATCATTATCACATTAAAATTTTGTTATATTTTTATACCTCTATTTATGAAAAAAAAAGAGTAAAAAAGAATTAGATTTAATTTCATATATAGCACCATTATGAAGATGAAAAAAAGGAAAAAAAAAATTAAGTAGGTGCATTAAAGCTTGATCCAAACCTTAACCAAACTAAAAATTAAATCAAACCAAATCAAGTTCAATAAAAACCGATCAGGTTTCAATTATAAGTAAATCAAATGGTTTGATTTTTAATCAAAATCAAACCAAACCGAGCCTATGAACACTCCTAGTCGGGAGCGGAGCCAAGACATTGGTATAAGAAAAATATTTTTGTCTCTTCTAATAAATCTCTATCTTTTTTTTTTGGTCTTTGTTTCTTAATTCAATTTTCAATTGCAAACTTACAAGTGTAGTGAGTTAATGAAAGTAATTCAATGGGTTTATTCTTGATTCTTGATTCTTTATTTTTTATTGCTTTTTTGTTTTAACTAGTATCCTCAGGATGACAACTGTGTGGGTCTAGTTTAATCAAATTATTTTTTTATTTTTAAATGATTAATAAATAATATTGATATTTATGTATAGTGAAATTATATGTTAATATTCATTAGATTTTGAGTTAAAAATTAAATTTTAGATTTGAGCTAAATAAAACATACATATTCTTTTTCCCAGGTGAAGCCCTCAACAATATGTGGCTTCGCCACAGCCACCATGAAAACAATAATAAACCTTCTAGAAATTGTGAGAAATCAATACCAAACCCCTTAAATGTATCTTTGGATACATCTATGAAACAATTATAGAAGTTAAAATCATAATTTTATAAAAATATATACAACCATTTCTGTTACATGTCAAGATTAACTATAAATTTAAAATGTCAGTTTTCTTAAAAATATTCAAACAGTTATTATATATAATAGAATTAATTATGAACTCAAAATTATGGTTCATAAAATAGAGTTTATATAGTTTTTGAATAAATTTTTAAGAAAGTATACTTAAAAAGCTAAACTGAAAAATAGGTAACAATACCTTACAAATAACAATAATTTTAGGTTCATAATTGATTTTGTTATCTATAGAAGTGTTTGAATATTTTTTAAAAAAAATCATGATTTTGGGATTTATAATTGATTTTAGTATGTAACAAAGGTGCTTGGATATTTTTTTAAAAAAATATGATTTTAAATTTATAATTAATTTTGATATGTAACAGAGTGTTTGAATATATTTTAATAAAATAATAATTTTACTTGATTTTCAATTCTTTTTGTCAATTTGGTGTTTCAATTCTGCTTTCAATCTTATTAATCAAAATTTTATAAATCAATCATACCACATAACTTAATCAATTATATTTAAAATTAATCATATTAATCAATTTTTTTAATTGATATCCAAGCAGAAGTCAGTGAAGGAATATATACTTAACAATGCAAAAATCATCATCATAATTTATTAAAATTGAAATCAAAATCATAAGAGACCATTGCTTCCATCTGTGAAGAAGAAGGTTATGGAGGCCATCGTCTTGATCAACAAAGGGAAAGCCATTTGTCATTGCCCACGAGGTTGCCATCGCCGTCACTATCATAGACCATGGTTTGCGAGAGAGAGAGAGAGATATATATATATATATATATATATACACACACACACTTAAAAAATAATATTTCAATATTTTACAAGTATATCACTATTATATATGATATCAACATAGATACATTAAGCAATTTGAAGCATTGTTTTTCATATCCATCACTTTTTTCTCATTTTTATTATAGCTGTTCTTGGGAGGGGATGAGATTAAGACAATCTTATCTTGTGTCTCATCTCAATAAAAAATAAGATTGAATTTTTATTACATATTTGATTTCACCTCAAAAGTCATTTTGTCCTATTTGGGATAGGACCAAAAAATCCTAATAAAGAAAACAAAACATAAAAAAAAATTTAGATAATAACATTTATTAAATTATATAATTTGTTAGGTTCAAAATCAAAATGACACAAGTATATAAATTCAATCATTGAGTTACAACCATAATTTAAAATTTAAGAACACAACTTAAAGTTAATTAAGATTAAATTTATGTCAAGAAGATGATATTGAGCTGAGATCTAACTTAACTTCTTTTTCAAAACAAAACAAGACATCTCAACAGTGAATTCGTGTTTTATCTTATCCCAAACATATTTCTCATCCTGTTTTTATAAGTAGGGATAAATCGGTCTTAATA